TCTATATTAGTCTCTGTCATTGAATGGTTGCATTTGATACATTTGAAGCCAATCTGACATTTCTTTCTTTATTCTCATTTAACCCTTTTTTGAGTGGAACTTCAGTTTTTTCTCTATCCTTAAAATCCAAAAATTTTAATAGGCAGTAACCAAAATTGACCATTCTGAGTTAATTCCTCCCAGCTAACTCAGAGGATGTTGCATTTTTTCAATGTAGATTCAAATCATTTTTATTTCCTCAAAGTTATCTTGAATCATAACTAAAAAATTTCTTCTCATGCTTTCCTTCTTTGGAAACTCATTCTGATTATGATGGAACATATTTATCTGTTTACTAAATTTGTCATTTTATCTCTAAACTATTTAAAATGTATCTCTTTGTTTGCAATTTTTTCTCACAACTATCTTTTGTCCCTTGCTAGTTTTTCCACAATATCCTGCCTTTCTTGCAGTTTTTCAAATCTTTTTTTCTTTCTTTTATGTGTTTTATTTTTGTTTTCTAATTCTTTCCTGATTTCTGCATGCTCATTTTCATCCCTCCTATTGTTAAGATATGTTAATCCTATTCCTACATTTTTACTTGGCTTTTTCCAAGCACATGGAATATTATTTCATTATGCTTCTGTTGTTCTCTTTATGTACTCATTTTCATTACATTTCTCGTCCACTTTTAGGCAGTCTTTTCCTGCTGCATATTTTTCACTTTTTGTAGATTTCTCCCATTTTTCGTGGAAAATCTTTGTGTTACTGCTAATACCCAGTTCTTTTTTCATTGTTCATCACTGAATATGTTGAATTTTCCTGGATTAGCAATTTGGGGAAGGTACCTAAGAAGGAGGCTAGGAGAGAAAGGGTACAGTAGCCCTTCAGATTTTTCATTTGCTCACTACTTCCATCTCTTAGGGGTCCTGTTGATTCTTTCTATGGATGTGCCTCCTTTTTCTGCAGGATACATAATATAACCGCAGCTCTAAAAATGGCCCTGCTCTCTTGTATTCTATACCCTTAATTGTATCAAGGGTGTAGCTTTTGAAATTCAAATTGGGCACCTTGTCTTTATTTTAGATAATTTTTTTTTTAAACTGGAACTTCAGTAGATATTCCATCACTTGAGCTTTTACCACTCTTTTCTGATTTTTTTCAGTTCCTCCTATGCAGATTCCACCCAATGTCATCATTATAGGCAGAAGAACCATTGGGGACAAAAAGAGAGGATCATTAGGTTCTCATAATGAATTACTTGAATGAGAGAATAAATATTAGAAGTAAGGTTTCAAAGGTATGCCTCGGCTGGTACACTATGAATTTTAATAAGTTAATGAGAACTGTATATTTTTAAGTGCTAGATTTTTAAAAATTAATCATTTTGCATAATTAATCAGACTCTGCTAATTAATTCTATAAAACTATATGCAAAATACATAAAATATTTTTGAAATTAAAATAAATTTGGACTAATAAAGAGGAGTTAAAATGATAATTAGAACCTTTCATTGATGCAACAACAATATGTGCTCTTTAAGAAAAATCTGGAAAATATAGATAGGAATAAAGCATAAATTAAAATATTTAACATTTTGGCCATAGTTAAATATACATACATACATGTTATTGTTTTAAAACTAGAATCACACTCAAAATATTGTGATCTCCATTTTAATCTTTTTGTGTATATATATATATATTCTTTTAAATAGGATTTTTATAATGGTTGCAGAGTATCCCTTCACATGCAATGGTGTAATTTGTTTCTATCAGTTCTCCATTACAAGATATTCAGGTGGTTTTGACACTGAAAATTGTATTGTGTTAATTGTCCTAATGAAGCAGGATATTTCCCTGACCCGTTCTCGGAACTCGTGACAGGGATGCCTCGTTTACTCAGCCCGCTCGCTGCTCTCAACTCCTCGCGGGAGAGAGTGCACGAGCGAACGAGTACGGGAGCCGGAATGAATGAGTGCTGGAATCGGCTGGCCACTTCGGTGCTGGTAGGATCCAGCTCCACGCACTCGGACCTGCAGCGTTCCCCCCTTCGTGGGAGGGAGCGCACAGGTGAGCCGGTGTAGGAACTGGTCCCACGCTTTAGAACCGGCAGGAGTGAACTCCATGCAGGCCCCACAGCAGAGTCCAAGCGGGGGTGCCTGCGACTCTCAAAGCCCCAGAGGCCATGTTACTGTGCTCTTTTAGCTCTGCTGCCCCAGGCGGCGTAAGTGTTAATAGCCCAGTGGGGCCTCTGCCTTTTCACACGAGGCAGCTGCCTTCCACCAGCTAGAGCAAAGGGCCAGTGTGACGCCACATTCTTCTCGAAGTTACGCTGTCAAGCTGTCCCCCTGAAGTCAAGCCACTTCTATGCCTAGCTGTATCCTGTCTACTGACGGAGTCTTGGGTTTATACAGGCACAGGATGGGGCGGGGTGGGGCCATGGGTAGTTTAGGAAAAGGCAACATTTCAGCGGGAAAATAGGGATAGAAGTTCTCCCTTTGGGCTATGGTTTCAGGTTTTTCAGCTTCAGGGTGGGAATTCCTGGGGACCCACTCTTTTCTGCCTAGATTTTCTCTGCCCACTGTTCCTTATCACTAGTACACAAATCTTGGTGTACTTCAAATAGTGTAATCCAAATAGTGTAATCCAATTTAGATAAATTGGAAGGAGTAAAATTTCTGGGACAGAAAACAATGCGTATTTCCCATATATCTTCTTAAATTGTCCTCTAGAAAGATTTTATTACTTATTTATTATCATTATTCAACAAGTGGCTGATTTCCTTTTCTTTGAATCTTTAATGAAAATAAGCATAATTTTAAATCATTTTGCAGATTTGATATATAAAATATGGTCTCATCTTTATAGTGTGAACATTAGTGAGATTGAGATGTTTTTGTTTGTTTTGTTTCCTTTTCCTGAATTCATGGGGCACAGACATTTCTCCTTTATAAACTGCCTGTCCGTGCTCTGTGGCTGGGTTGCTCTTGGTACATTGTCCTTTTTCTGTGTAAAAACTCTTAGTGAAAACTCTTTCATATGGGACAGATATCACTCCTCTTCCCCATCTGGTTTGCCTTGCAATTTTGTCTGTCTTTTTAATACAGAATTTTAAATGTTTATAAATCTGTTGGTATGTTCCTTTGAATTTTCTTCTGTTTTATACTTAGAACTTTCTGTTTTGAAAATCATGAGTATGTAAATACAATTTTTTCATTTTTGCATTTTGGAGATGTCATAATTAAGAGGTGATAATTGTGACATGATCTGAGGACTGTTTCTGTATTTACTATCATATCTCATTTGTCTCACTAATGTTTCTTTTACTAGAATTAGTCTCATGTACTGCACTTTATAATATGCTATATTATATAAAACATACACTATTACAAGATAATATAGCATATTCCTCGCTATGTTTTCTATTTCAAAATTTACTGTGTTCACCCATATATTCTACATAAATTTTAAAACATTTTGTCATGTCCCAAAAAATAGTGCCTTGGAATTTTTATTTTGACATTACTAAAACTAAAATATTATTTAGGGATAATTGATTAGAAGCAACATGATATTTCTCTTTCTAATTTTTTAATATTTTTCTCTAAATTGCTTTGTAGTCTTTTTCATCTAATATATACACACACATATTTGATTTTTCCTATATATTTTGTATTTTATGTCTGGCTTATTTTACATTCTTTTTTTTTTTTGACATGGAGTCTCACTCTGTCATCCAGGCCAGAGTGCAGTGGCACCTTCTCAGCTCACTGCAACCAATTCTCCTGCCTCAGCCTCCTGTTTAGCTGGGACTACAGGTGTGTACCACCATGCCTGTCTAACTTTTGTATTTTTAGTAGAGACGGGGTTTCACCACGTTGGTCAGGCTCGTCTCGAACTCCTGACCTCGTGATCCACCCACCTTGGCCTCCCAAAGTGCTGGGACTACAGGTGTGAGGCCGGGCGCGGTGGCTCATGCCTGTAATCCCAGCACTTTGGGAGGCCCAGGCGGGCCAATCACTTGAGGTCGGGAGTTCAAGACCAGTCTGACCAACATGGTGAAACCCCATCTCTACTAAAAATACAAAAAAGTTAGCTGGGCGTGGTGGCACGTGCCTGCAATTCCAGCTACTTGAGAGACTGAGGCAGAATAATTACTTGAACCTGGAAGGCGGAGGTTGCGGTGGGCCAAGATCACGCCATTGCACTCCAGCCTGAGCAACAAGAGTGAAACTCTGTCTAAAAAACAAAAACAAAACAAAACAAAAACAATAGGAAGGCAACCTATTTCTTTTAAAAGTATTTTTAAAACTTTCAACAATTATATGGGTTTTTTGGGTACATTTCTCTTTAGAGATTCTATTGTGAAAATATTGTATTAATTGTTTGGCCTTTTTGAGCTTTTAGCTTAATTTTAAAATAAAAAACTGCTTAATATTTTTGTTCATTTTATTTTAAATAAAAAATGTCATTAACTATAACTCTCAAGTTGGTATTTCACACAAAAATAAAATAATAATAGAGATGGATAGATTTTTATCCTCATTCTTTACATTATAAATATTAATTACCATATGATAGTATATAGCATTTTATCTACTGAAGTATTTGATTACTTATATTACAAATGGCTTTATAATGTAGGCCCCAGATTTCTAAATTAGTAGTGTCTATTTTTATAGATCAAAATATCATGTCCAGTCACAGTGGCTCATACCTGTAATCTCAGCACTTTGGGAGGCCAAGGCTGATGAATCACTGGAGCCCAGGAATTCAAGACCAGCCTGGCCAACATGGTGAAACCCTATCTTACTAAAAAGACAAAAACTATCTGGGAATGGTGGTGCATGCCTGTAGTCTCAGCTACTTGAGATGCTAAGGCACAAGAGTCACTTGAACCCAAGAGGCAGAGGTTGCAGTGAGCTGAGATCATGCCACTGCACTCCAGCCTAGGCAACAGAGCAAGACTTCATGCAAAAAAACCCCCCAAAAAACTAATGTTTTTATTTATATTTTAGATTAGTGGGATGGTTTGGTCATGAACTCAGCACCAGATTTAAGATGGATAACAGTAAGTATATTAATTTTACCTAATAAGTCATTGTATTTTAACTTTATTTCAATGTTCATTTGTCTTTGTGTTATGTGTAATGTATATGCCCCATGGAGAGTGTGCTTCAAAAAATGTCACTGAGAATTCTCAAATAAGAAATGACATTTCCGGAGTGTAAGACTAAGAGTTTATAGGTTTTAGCATGATTTTGAGTCTATCCCTTAGTAGGGAGGTAAAAGAGAATGAAGTCCAAGGTAAGGGTCATGTGGCTTGGCCAATATAGAGTGCCTGAAACATGGGACATGGAGGATAGGAGGAAATTTGGGGCTTGGAGTCAGATCCAGAAAGACTTGGGTGTTAATCACACTTTGCTGCTTAATAGTTTTTTGACCCTGCACAAGTTACATCATCTTGTGTCATTGTTGTTTCTTTCCACTTATCTAATGTGAATAATAAAACCTATTTAAAGATTTGGTTTTAGGGTTAGTCAAGTTCAAAACAATAAGCCAAGTAGGACATAGCAGTACCGTAATCAATACTCATTTTCCCTCCTCTTTTTTCCTAAATATTTTCCTTTTGTGGCTTTTGCCATGTACCAAAGAGTATAGCAATTCCTGTGAGCAGTTAACCCTAGCAGATAGAAGTGAAATTCTACCATGCAGAGCTTCTTTTTCCTGTGTGCCCCTATTTCTCAATCACATGGGACGTGGAAAGATCATAAGTGCTTTGAGAGTTCAACATAAACTTGATCCTTCAGATTGCTTTAAACCCTGAGATACCATTTTAAATTTGTTTCCATTTTTTATTGATTTTATTTTTTTGTTTTTGGAACAGGGTCTTGCTCTGTCAACTAGGTGGGAGTACAATGTTGCAGTCAAGCTCAGTTCAGCCTTGATATCCCTGGCTCAAGCAATCTTCTCACCTTAGCCTCCTAAGTAGCTGGGACTAGAGGTGTGCACCACTGTGACCGGATGATGATGATGATGATGATGATGATGATGATGATGATGATGATTTAGTGGAGATGAGGTCTTACTATGTTGCCTAGGCTGGCCTGAGATAATATTTTGTATATATAGGTGCTCTTTGACTTACAGTGGGGTTATTTCCTGATAAGCCCATCATAAGCTGAAAATATCTTAAGTAAAAAATGCATGTAATACACCTAATCTATAGAACATCATGGCTTAGCCTAGCCTACCTTAAAACACATTCAAAACACTTACACAGCCTAGAGTTGGGCAAAACCATCTAACACAAATCCTATTTTATAATAAAACATTCAGTATATTATATGATTTATTGAATACTTTACTAAAAGTGAAAAACAGAATGGGTGTATGGGTACTCGAAGTATGGCTTCTACTGAAGGTGTACCACTTTTGTATCACTGTAGAATTGAGCAATTTTAAGTCAAACCATCGTTAAGTCAGGGACCCTTGGTATTCAAATTTGTAGCAACCAAATTGCAAGATGGGATATTCCAATCAAGTCAGGTTACCTGTATTTTACCTTGGCTGCTAAAATAATGAGATCTGTTATTATACCAGTTATTTAAATTCTTTGAGATGGGTTTTCTTATTTGGAAATAAAAGAATTGAATTTGATCAGGGGTAGCAAACTTTTTCTGTGAAGGACCAGATAGGACATATTTTAAGCTTTCTGGGCTGTACAGTCTCTGTGGCGAATACTCAGTTCTGTCATTGTGGTGGTAAAGCAGCCGTAGGTGATACACAAATGAAAGATTTTGGCTATGTTTTCATAAAACTGTATTCTAAAAAAGCAGGGCCTGGCACGAAGACTCACGCCTGTAATCCCAGCACTTTGGGAGGCAAGGCAGATGGATCGATTGACCACAGGAGTTTGAGACCAGCTTGGGTGACATAGCGAGACCTCGTCTCTATAAAAACTACAGAAATTAGCCAGGAGTGGTGGCATGCATCTGTAGTCCCAGCTACTTGGGAGCCTGAGGTGGGAAGATCACCTGAGCCCAGGGAGGTCGAGGCTGCAGTGAGCCATGATTGAGCCACTGTACTCCAGCCTGGGTGACAGAGTGATACTCTGTCTCAAAAACAAAAACAATACTAGTGGGTCAAATTTGGCTCACAGGCCATATGACCATATATATTAGTCTTTTCACACTGCTATAAAGATACCACCTGAGACTGGGTAATTTGAAAAGGAAAGAATTTTAATTGACTCACAGTTTCACATGGCTGGGGAAGCCTCAGGAAACTTACAATCACGTCAGAAGGCGAAGGTAAAGCAAGGCTCATCGGAGGTGGTGGCAGGTGAGAGAGAGAGAGAGGGCATTAAAAACTGCTGTTTTTAAAACCATCAGATCTTGTGAGAACTCCTTCACTATCATGAGAACAGCATGGGGGAAACCGCCCCCATGATCCAATCATCTCTCATCAGGTCCCTCCCTCCACTTATGGGGATTACAGTTCAAGATGAGATTTGGGTGGGAACACAGAGCCAAACCATATCACCATAGTTTGCTTACTCCTGGATTTGATGACTATATAAAAAGTCACCATATTTTAACATTCTTTTAGTCAGTCATAGTGTTATCTCTGACTAGCTATCTTAACCCTATTGAATTTAACTTGCTGCAGTTCAGTCTGCTTAATTCTAATTAGTAGAGCATCTGTTATTAATTTACCTTTTTTATATATTATACTTAGATCTTTTTTTTAAAGCCCCCTCTGTTGTATGTGTGTGTGCATGTGTGTCTCTGTCTGTGTGTTGTAAGATAAACCACTTGACCTAACAATCCTAGAGCTAAAAGTCACCTTCATAGGTCATTTCATTCATTTTTCTGCCTTTGGGCGACAGTACAATTACATGCCACTAAAAGCTGATGCTCTCTCTCATTGACATGGTTTCATAATAGAATAGCAACAGTTGAGCAGAACAAGGAATCCTGGCTTGGGAATAGGAAGGCAGAGAATGGGGTCCAGAAAAACTTCCAGAAGAGGTCATTTTTACCTTGGGTCTAAGATTTCTGGTGTTCTGCTAAGAAGGTGGGGACAAGGGAGGCAGGAACTGCTGGTAAAGGGGAAATAACGTCGATATTTCAGTTCCATGGAGTTGATCTTAAATATCTCAGGAATTCTACCCAGGAGTAAAAGTTTACATTTTGCTCTTTTACTCTCCAGTACTTTAGTATCTTTATGGACACTTTTCAAGTTACCTTCTATGATAATGACATGATATTAATTTCTCAGAACTGCAGTTAATCCCTGGGGTCTGTGGATTCCGAATTTCAAATCCTCCCATTTTGTTGGTCTGTTCCTTACATGCTAGTTTAGAGGTAAGTGATGTATGTTTCAACCTTCCCACATCTTTGCCTTTTTTCTTGATCTGATTGTGACAATTTGTAGTACTTTCTCTGCTACACAGCAAGATGATACATGTACACTGTGCATGAACAAGGGACAGAAGGCATCATTCCCCTTTAGGACAGTGATGATGTGGCAAATACTCAGTTCCATCATTGCAGTGGTAAAGCAGCCGTAGGTGATACATAAATGAAAGATTGTGGCTATGTTTTCATAAAACTGTGTTTTAAAAAAGCAGGGCCTGGCACGAAGACTCACGCCTGTAATCCCAGCACTTTGGGAGGCAAGGCAGATGGATCAATTGACCACAGGAGTTTGAGACCAGCCTGGGTAACATAGTGAGATCTCGTCTCTATAAAAGCTACAGAAATTAGCCGGGAGTGGTGACAGTCTCCCTTCATTCATGTCACCAGCCCCCAGCACAATGCTTGGCACATTGTTGGCACATAGTAAATATTAAATAGAATTCTTTTGGGGAGATACATTTTTTACTCCACTTAGTATCTTTTTAACCATGAAAAACTTTCTTAACTTTCTCTTGGTCTCTCTGTATACTAAATAAGCATGCAATATTTAGTTCTTCATAAATTCACTTGTTCAACATAAATTTATTGAGAGTGTGCCTGATGTGATTACTGGGGATTATACTTTTCTAGTTCATTATAGGTTAATGAACTGACCAAGTACCGTGTGACAAAGCTAGGAAAGACTTACTTGAAGGAAAAAAAAAAGAATAATCAGAGTAAACCGAAGATTAAAAAAGGTTGCCTCATGAAGTATGGTGGTTTAATGATTTTTTTTTAAATTGGGACTTCTACGCCATTATATCCATTTATAGTCTCAACTATCACTGACTCAATATTTTCCTTTAAATTAATTTATATTTTTATTTAGGTAAATTTAGTCTCACCCTGAAATGATAAATATACATAACAAGAAAATGAAATTGTGATTCCTTAGATACTATTATTTAGTAGTAGACTAAATGCAGTCAAGAAAAAATATATGGGTTATATAGTATAGAATTCATAATAATGTAAATATATAAAGTAAATATATATTTTGTATACATATATTTAAAATATATTTTAGTTAAATGCGTATATATATTTCTAACAGTGGTTTTACATAGAACTATTCAAACAAGGATTTGAAATTTTTTCCTGTCTCCTTCAAAAATCATGTAGTTTTTGATTTTTTAGCAAAAACTTATAGAGGATTTCAGCATCAAATGAGTTGGACAGGATGAAGATTCAAAATTCCTTCTAATCTAAAATTGCATAATTCTGTGAATACTTATAGCAGTTTCTCATTCTGGCCACTGGATGGCAGCATCAAGTTCCTCTGTTTTTATTAAATTTCACCACTGGATAGTGATCATCACCTCATTTCATTCCATCTCAATTTAAAGCGCACCTCCTCAGTTTAACCACTAGATGGAGCTTGTGTTGTTTTCACTTCATGGCAGAATTTTTCTTTAACTTGGAAAACAGACATAATAACGAGATTTTTCATCTGGTGATACATATTTTGGAAAGTTTTTTTGAGTAAAAATCTGCTTAGTAAATCAGATAATGATATTTGAGTTGTTTTTATAATATCCATTTAGACAAATATTTTATTTAAACATTTTAAAACAAAACAAAGTTTCTGCATTCCTTGCAAGTTTATATCAGGGAGAAGATGTGTGACAATATCAGAAACACAAGGACATACCTTAGGAAGAGCTTGTACCTAAAGTAATTTCCTCTGATGGACCATATCTTTGCAAATAACTTCTCAGACACACCTGGAAATTTCCTTTTGGATGCCCTCACTTTGGCACACCTTCTGCAGTGGACTGTTTCTTCTAGTAGTATTCACCCTTCTGCTGTGGGAAAAGAAGCACATTCCTATTTTTCCTGCCACTGTTTTCCTACTACACTGTATTAGAGTCATCTAGATAAAGTTTTTATTTTCAGTTATAATCTGACAACTGATTTATTTTTTCTTTCTAATATCTAAACTTAAACCTCAGTCTCCTGAGTAGCTGGGACTACAGGTGTGCACCACTACACCGGGCTAATTTTTGTAGTTTTGTAGAGACAAAGTCTCACTATGTTTACCCAGTCAATATCTAAACTTAAAACCCTAAAACCACAAGAAGAATGATATGCACTTCTCTGGATCTTCTAATCACTTACATATTTCCATTGAGCCTCTTTCTGCTCATTTCACTGCCGAGACTATGTTCTAACCAAAATTATCTTGAGTTAATCAAGTCTTATGTTGGTAAAAGTGTTTTTCAAAATTATTTCTTACTGTAAATTGCAAAATTTTTGAATTACAAACTAATGCATTGAATTGTTTCCCTTTCTGTATCTAACTGTTAAAATGTCCTATTTTTCTAGACATTTATGGGCTTCTCATGTGAGTAAGCATCAGTGAATTAACTATGTTTCTATTAATACCTTTCTTTAAGTTTTATTATTTATATGTAGAGATGAGGTCTAGCTCTGTCATTCAGACTGAAGTGCAATGGTATGATCATAGCTTACCATGGCCTCAAACTCCTAGGGTTCAAGTGATCCTCCTGCCTCTGCCTCCCGAGTACTGGGACTATAGGTCTGCGCCACTACACTTGGCTGATTATTATTTATTTATTTTATTTCTTTATTTTTGAGACAAGGTCCCCCTCTGTCACCCCTAGAGTGCAGTGATGGGATCTCAGCTCACTGCAACCTCCGCCTCCTGGACTCAGTTGATCTTCCAACCTCAGCTTCCACAGCAGCTGGGAGTACAATGAGTGCACCACCATGCCCAGCTAATTTTCGTATTTTTTGTAGAGACAGGATTTCGTCATGTTGCCTAGGCTGATCTCCAGCTACTGGCCTCAAGTGATCCTCCACCTCGGCCTCCTGAGTAGCTAGGACTACAGGGCATGCCACTGTACTCAGCTTGTTTTTAAATTTTTTTAGAGATGAAGTCTGGCTATGTTGTTCATGTTAATCTGGAATCTCCTATGTCCATGTTAATCTGGAACTCCCGGCCTCAAGCGATTCTCCTGCCTCAGTCTCCTGTTTGAAATGTTTGTTTTTCGGTGCCATAAAGAAATAGCACTTGAACGTAAATTTAATTTATTTAGTAAGGCCATTTTTACTTCCTGCAGAAAGGGTACACTCGCCAGCAGGTTTGCCACAATAGTACACCAAACAAAGGAGACAGGGTCCTTTATAACCTCACGTGTCCACCCTACTGCTGTGTCTGGTTGCCACTGGCTGGAACAGGACCTCACATTCTGTATTTGTCCTGATTGGCTAGTAACTTAGAACTTTTTAAAAGAGGTAAAGGTAGAGGGGAACAAATGAAGGAGGACGTAACTTGTGGAATGCTAAGAAAGGTACAAACACTTTTAAATAAGGAAGAGGAACAGGCTGTGACCTAATGCTTGCTTGGACTGGTATGAGCATGCCAGGGCAAATATTTAGGCTAAATTGTGGGAGCTAAGAACTAAAGTATATTGATTTATTTATTACGGCGAGCAGGTATTTAAGAATGTGAGCACAGGTCTTTGAATAAATTTTGCTTCTAAGAGAAGTTACTCTTTATTCCTAATTAGATGGGAAGGAAAGTCTTCGAAGAGGAACCTCTACTTTACTTTTTACACTACTAAGCAGTTGGGATGACAGACATGAACCACTGCACTCAGCCACCTTATCTTTTTAAACCAGTTTATTCCATAGGTGGTTGAAGTTTCAATAAATGAAACAAGTAAATGCATGAATCAAACTGCTTCTTTGTTGTCTCTACTTTACTTTTAAGAAATATTCAACACAGTCAAATACGAACTGGAGGAGAGATTCTATACCTAAGAATCAATTATATATAAATAAGACCTTAGATTTTTAATGCAATGACTTTTTAAAAAGATATTAATATGGCTTTTTAAAAAAATACATGTGTATATGGTTGATTGATATTAAAAACAGCACGTTGTAATCAGTTTCAAACTGTCCTTTTGTTTATATTTTTGGATCCGAATCATTTATACAATAATTCTTAAAATATTGTGGATCAAGGGATGAAACCTGAGGCCAGGAAGCTGGAGGCAAGTACTCTCTCCCTGAATGGACGCAAAGTGTGACCTCACGCAGACAACAACTCCCTTTGGATGTATTTGCCTTATTGTTTAAAGTAAGATGTTTGGACAAGATTATTTAGGGAGGCCCTGCGCGGTGGCTCAAGCCTGTAATCCCAGCACTTTGGGAAGCCAAGACGGGTGGATCACGAGGTCAGGAGATTGAGACCATCCTGGCTAACACGGTGAAACCCCGTCTGTACTAAAAAATACAAAAAACTAGCCGGGTGAGGTGGCGGGTGCCTGTAGTCCCAGCTACTGGGGAGGCTGAGGCAGGAGAATGGCATGAACCTGGGAGGCGGAGCTTGCAGTGAGCTGAGATCCGGCCACTGCACTCCAGCCTGGGCAACAGAGCGAGACTCTGTCTCAAAAAAAAAAAGATTATTTAGGAAATCTCGATTTTCAAAATACTTAAATTTAAACAATACATATATTATATTTGAAAGTTCATATTTATATGTAGCAATAGGTAGACAATATTTAGGCCCTTTCAGTATTCTGAATTCATAATGAAATAAATAGCTTCAAAATATGAAATTAGAGCATTCAGTTAAAATACATGGCGAGTCAGAAGACTCAACAAAGAAATGTACTATATGTTTCCTTTCAAAGTTCCTAGGGAGCCAGTTTTAAGAATCTAAGAGAAAAATATGACAATTCAAAACATCACACCAAACTTATTTTTCCTGTTTATACTTACCTAGCTTTTCTAGCTTCATGTTCATTTTGTCAGTAAGAAAAAAAAAACAAGTAGTTGAAACTCTGCCAAGTATTATCTTTTAAGTTGAATATTTTTCAAACCACACTTTTCATTTTTTTAATTAAAAAAATTATTCTTTCTCAATTTTGAAAGCATAAAATTTATGAGAAGCAAAAAAGAAAATAGAATATTTATGCTACTTCCCTATTATTCTCTCTCAATATTTTTATGTGAGGCTCAGAATAGACTTTTACCCTGTGTGAGATTGAATTTAAAAGTGCCTCGGAATGCAATTGCCCTTATTGTGGTTGTGATGGCGAAAGTAAGTTTTATATTTAAAAGTTATTTGATTATTAAAAAGTGACAACATTCCACTGTATATTAAGATGGAAGTTATTTGTCATACCAAAAAATTTGGTTTCTAGTTATCAAGAGAAAGCTGCAAGAGCAACATTCCCTAAGCCCCTTTAAAAACTAAATTCAAGTAATATTTCTCAAAGTTTTACTAACCTATGCATACAAATGAACTATCATTAAATGTGATACTTCACATATTGATTGCCCCCATGTACATATTAGGGCACCCATAGCATAACCACAAAATTTCCTAGATTTATTTATTATTTAGAATTTCTTAGAATATTATTAAGCTCCAGACAGAATCTTGGAAAGATTCCTCACATAGTTTTTTATTCCAAACTTCACAGCCAAACCAGCTGTGGCCTAGGCCTTGCCTGTCCCTGCTCCTCTGGGATAATTTTGATTCTTGGCCCTTGACCCAAAACTTGGCAGTGTTCCCTTGAGTCCTCATTATGCCAAGTCTACCTACATTTTGCTTTGCCCAAGAAAATGAAGAGATGCCTCCTACCAAATTCTGTGTAACCTGGGTCAGCTGAGTCTTGGAGCACTATTATTTGTACTCCAGATCTCGAGGGCTTATGAAACCAAGATATCAGCCTCTGCTTGAGCTGTCTCTGCAGGCGTCAGACATTGTCTGGGAGGTGTGGTGGAGGAGACAGACAGGCCCCATTCTGTCCTGTTTTTCCTCTCTTGCTTAGATATCATTTACCTTCAGTACAGTTCCCATCCTCTCCTTCAGCCAATCCATAGCCGCCATACACTATAGTTCCAGGAAATCTATGGCTGAATGGTTTGAGTTTTATTCGAGTGCCTGCCTGCACATGCCACGTGTACATACAGGAATAACTGTTTTCACAGACTTGATAAAGTCTCAATATCACCAAATGACCCTATCTTTGCTCTTGATATCTTTGCTCATGACACAAAAAAGGAACATTAAGTGGCAGGCCAGTGCATCACGCTCTGTTTGCAGTTCATTCAGTTCTTATACGTAGGATATATTTTTACACTCTACTTGACCTTAAGAGATAAGCCAGAAAAGCACATCTGTTCTGACCCCTAATATTCCAACACCAGTTATTGTGTGCCCTTGTCACTCATCTTAATATAAGACATCTCAGGCAGCAAATGGCAGTATTTTCACACCAGTGCTAGAGTTTAGAGGGGGGAAAATGAGAGAAAGCAAGCCCAAATGCTTCAGTAAAAATAAATGCATTATCTAATATTATTTGCTTTCCTCTCTGAGAAGACTTAGCATTATTATTTAACTGCTTGTTTTCTTATTGTTAAACTGGAAGAAATTTAGGAGTCAGTAAAGCAGTTATAAATATTACCAGAACACTGATTTCCACATTTGCACATGTTTAGATCATATTGCACTTTTTTGGGGATAAACAAACTTTACATAAAAGTTGGAAAAGTCTTCTTGATTATGATTTCAAAAAGTGGTTTTGGGGAAAAGCTTACATTGTATGATATTTAAATCCATTTTTTAAGGTATGTTTTACTTGATTATACTAAGTTAATTTAAAATAATTTGAAGGTATGTTCCCAGACCAAACTGAGGGTTGGGCTATTATTTCTTGTGGCCCAATAACAAGATGCAGATGAACAGGGGAGAAAGAGAGTTTTTATTTCTGTAACTGGTTACAGGGAGAAGGCCTGGAAATTGTCACCAGACCAACTCCAAATTACGAAGTTTTCCAGAGCTTATATACCTTCTAAGTTATATGTCTGTGTAAGTGTGCATTCATCTAAAGACATAAGTGATGAACTTCTTTTAATCTATAACTAAGGTCTGAGCCCTGAAGACCTTCCTCTGCAGCCTCAGTAAATTTACTTAATCTAAATGGGTCCAGGTGCTGGAGTGATTACCTTTATCTTGTCTCCTGCTACCTCACTGAGGTTTGAGGAGTTCCTTTAGACCTTCAATAAACTTGTTTGCGGAGGCCTGGGGAGTTTCTTCACACCCACAGTAAAAGCTTCTTTAATCCTAAATGAATCCCATTAAGAATTCCTTCGTTATTTTGTCATGCTTTCAGGCCCAGGGAAGGCCTAGGCAAAACCCTTGGTGGGCTTTTGTTACATCCCAGCCTTGTATAAGGGCATGGGCGTTTTTCGTTTTTAATATTTAACTTAACCATTCTGTCAGTACTGACACAGTTGTAATGGAGGCCTGCGTTAGTGAGACCTGGCCTGCCACAGGTACAAGTATTAACTTACGTTTTCTTCCTTTGCAAGTTTTATTTAAGTGACATTTGCACAATTTTTCTGTCATGGAAATTTTACCTCCAGTGTTTAATAGCAAAGCATTTAAAGGAGGGCATGATTTTACAAAAAAAAAAAAAAAAAGATTATGTAAAAGGAGATTAAAAGGAGATATTTATTGGAAAGGTCAAACATGGGCATTTCCTTTTTATGCATGATTTACTCTTAATTTTTGCTTCTTTGTAAATCAATAAGACACTTTAATCTGATTGTTTCTCATTCCACAGATCTTTAAGCAAGCGACAATGAAGGCATTGCGGAAAAAATCTATTTTGCTAACTGGCTATCTGGAATACCTGATCAAGCATAACTATGGCAAAGATAAAGCAGCAACCGAGAAACCAATTGTGAACATAATTACTCCATCTCATATAGAGGAGCGGGGGTGCCAGCTAACAATAACATTTTCTGTTCCAAACAAAGATGTTTTCCAAGAACTGGAAAAAAGAGGAGTGGTTGTAAGTATGTCTTGCTTTGCTAGCAGATTTTGTCTGTGGGCTGCATGTTAGCGATAAAATTTGGATTGTTTGGTTTATTCATTGTTGCATGTTATTTCACATCAGTCAGTCAATTAAGGATAAATTAAGTGCCAACTAAGCCCTCAGCACTGTGCTAACTGAAAGGCATAGAGATCTGTCATTTCTGATAAAAAAGAAGATACCACAAACTTGGGTTATAGGAATAGTTTTTTGTAACTTACTCATTCTTTTCATAACAGTTTGGGCAGAAAAAAATTATTATTTCATCATACTCAGTCAGGACATTGTTTTCTCTAGTTTGTACTATAATTCATTTATTGAAAGAATGGAATTAAAGATCATACCAATTTATTGAAGGGTAAAAAAAGAAAGTCTTATTTAGTTGCTTGATCAAATTAAGTTACTTTCAACTTTGTCACTTCAGTCAAAAAAGATATATATACACTTCCCAGGAGTGGTAACATTGCAAGGAATAATTTTTTTTAACCCTTCAGCCTATATGACCTTCTTGAAGGTCTCTTGAAGAGAACCAATAAATGTGAACTGAGTCATTTCAGGGAAAAAAAGATAATGTATCTACTTCCAATGATTATGTAATTAAGGCACTGCTTGGCTCATGCTTACCTCCAAACCTGTAGGAGATGTTACCCCCAGATGCTGAAGGCACAAGTCAGAAGATCAAGATTCTAGATCAGACTCTGCCCTTGTCAAGCTCTGTCCTCTGAGGAAAGTTCATTAGGATCTATTGGCTTGATTTTTTCATCTGTATTTGGGGTATAAAAATAATTACCTCCAAGAGTCGTGATTGGATTGAAATGGGACAGCACGCATAAACTATATACTATATTGTCTAGCCTGTAGCAGGTGTTTTCTAAAGTTAACCGTAGCAATCTCCAGGCATGTCCAATTATCTGGTGCTACTTCAGGACCTACAATGTAGCTCACTTCTTATTTGTGAGATCACAGATTAGAAAATAACTTGAAGGATAATTTACTAAAACTCTCCAGACCCCAATGAGGTTTTCATTCACTTAAATTCACCCGAGTTCCAGTCCTTCCATGGGGTCCCCACAGGAAAAAAAAAAATGAAAAACTGTATGTATGATCTATTAAATGCTTAAGGAAGATAGCTGCTGAATAGATTTCAGGAATTTGTCTTGGCTATTCATGCACCAATCCATTCTTATTTCTTAAATTATTATCAAGAGAAAAGTTTCATAAAACATAAAAATACCATGTTTTACTTAAAGTAAAAAATTTTGCTTATATATTAATTTTTAGGGAAATCATTATGAAGGTGCTTTACATAAGTTTATCTTGAATGTACATTTTCAATGTATGAATAACGCTAACATTATTGTGGCTTTATTTTTCCCCCACAGTGTGACAAGCGGAATCCAAATGGCATTCGAGTGGCTCCAGTTCCTCTCTATAATTCTTTCCATGATGTTTATAAATTTACCAATCTGCTCACTTCTATACTTGACTCTGCAGAAACAACAAATTAGCGGTGTTTTCTAGAACAACTTAAGCAAATTATACTGAAAGCTGCTGTGGTTATTTCAGTATTATTCAATTTTTAATTATTGAAAATATGTCACCATTGACCACATGTAACTAACAATAAATAATATACCTTACAGAAAATCTGATGTAATTTTTTAAGGTCTGTGGCACTGAGGAGTCCACAGGGCTGCCTAGGTGCTTGGTGTTTGGGGGACTGACACTGTGTTGGTTCAAGTATTATCTATACAGTCTCAATAAGCTGTCACATTTCATGGTCATTGACATATTTTATGTTGGTTTAATTTGTGATTGAACTGACAACTTCATAATGTATGTGCAATTATTGTGTCAATTTTGGAAATATTACTTTAGTTTCAATTTACCAAGGAGTTTCTTTGAAGCATTGTAGTCTGATATATATATATATACACACACACATACATACACACATATGATTTTAAAATGTCACATCCAATTCCAATCTAGGGAAAAGGAAATACATTTCCTGGGGTAGTGGCTTTCAAATATATTTTGGGCACAATCCACATTGCTCCTGCCTATCTATAATACCAGAAACAAGTATTTCTGTGAATATACGCCATATATTATTGATTCTAAGATACTTTTGTCATATTTTAACATCTTTGAAAGAGGACCCATCTTTCAATTTTCAGTCAAGTTTCTTACAGTCACCGTTGGCCATCTTTCTTATTACCATCTATGAAATTAGCATGCCTCTCAAATAAATAGGTACCATCTTCTATTTGATAAAATAGTCTAAATAACAAAAATAAAAGTGTTTACACTTATTTGCCTGTGCTCTAATATGTACTATTCTATTTTATCTCATTATAAGAAATGGTGGAAACTCATTATATTGATTTCCTCACCCACTCATGAGCCCTAATTCACACTTTTTAAGAATGTTTCTTTCTTTAATGTTATCATAATATCTTACTTTATAAATGGGAACTTCCCCTAATATAAGGGCTTAGATATTATATTACTATGTTTCCATAATAAATGAATAACCCCAAGATCTTTTTGAGGATTAGAGGTGTAAGAAATACGTACTCCATCTCTTGACCTTTTTGTCTCAAATCTATGGACCTTTCTCACCCACTTTGAAAAACCTAAAGTGACACTCAGCCCTGTTGGACTTACCTAGTTTTCAATTGTTGATGCCACAATCATTATTTATAAGTTGACAAAATAGTGTAGATATGTATACATAGCCAACAAGAAAGAGTGACATAATTATTGCCCCCGATTACACAAATCTGAATGAAATAAACAAACTTAGATAAACATTTTGGATAGTAGATGTAAATAATAATATGTGGCGCTCCAACATCAACATCTACCAATACCAGTAACTACTGATATTTATCAAGTACTTACCATGCACCATGTATTGAACTACCTTACTCGTGTTATCTCCCTTGAGTGGTTACATACTGCTTTAGCAAATCTTCCCACTGCAACTAATCCTCACAGACGGAAGAGTTCTCAAAACCTTAAAACTCACGCGTGAGTGGATTCATATATATATGAATATATATATATATATATAATTGTTATTATTATACTTCAAGTTCTTGGATACATGTGCAGAACATACAGGTTTGTTACATAGGTTTACATGTGCCATGGTGGATTGCTGCACCCATCAACCCGTCATCTACATTAGGTATTTGTCCTAATGCTAACCCTCCTCTTGCCCCCCACTCCCTGACAGGACCTGGTATGTGATGTTCCCCTCCCTGTGTTCATATGTTCTCATTGTTCAACTCTTACTTATGTGTGAGAACATGCGGTGTTTGTTTTTCTGTTCCTGTGTTAGTTTGCTGGGAATGATGGTTTCCAGCTTCATCCATGTCCCTGCAAAGGGCATGAACTCATTCTTTTTTATGGCTGCATAGTATTCCATGGAATCTATGTGACACATTTTCTTTATCCAGTCTATCATTGATAGGCATTTGGGTTGGTTCCAAGTCTTTGCTATTGTGAATAGTGCCACAATAAACATACGTGTGCATGTGTCTTTATAATAGAACGATTTATAATCCTTAGGGTACATACCCAGTAATAGGATTGCTGGGTCAAATGGTATTTCTGGTTCTAGATCCTTGAGGAATCACCACACTGTCTTCCACAATGGTTGAACTAATTTACACTCCCACCAACAGT